CTATGATTCTATGATTCTATGATCCTCTCATATTCAGATTCCAAAACACTTCTGGTCCCAAGCATTTTGGATAAGGGATGTTCAACTTGTACTAGTCACATGGCTAGCACATATCTTCAAAAAGTCACATATGGCAAATCTACAGCACCTAGCTTGGTAGACATCACATGGCAGGAAGACAGAGCTACACTGGAAGAATAAAGTTTTCTGAGAATCATGTGTCCAACCCAGACAACTGCTCTGTACCACCAGTGGTATGCATAGCACTGGCTGAGAAAGGTAAAAGTATTCCCCATTGACAAGATTGTCAAGTCGTGTCTGACCATCTCCATTATTCATCTCATCTCCATCTGCTCATCTCTGTTACTAAGCCAAAGAGCCAGCACTGCCAGAGACTACTCTGTGATCATGAGGCCAGCATGATTGCACAGAACACATAGCATTGGCTGAGAACCAGTGACTTCAAAGACATAGCAGTGTTAGTCTGAAAAGTCAGTATGCAAAGGGATTTTGTAGCAACTTTGAGAATGACTGAAATAGAAAAGTTGGCATCATTAGCATTCATGGGCTTGAGTCTACTTCCTCAGATGCATGGGGAGTAGCGGAAAGTCCAGGGACAGGCCTATATATGCACCCTGTGTGTAAGAATGTCCATAGGAATGCAAAACTTTGTGGGTGTGGATATGAGGTGACAAATTCAGCTTTAACAGTGGTCACTGGCAAAAAGGCAGGAGAAAGGATGTTGCCCAAAGCCAAGGTTAGTAGATAACCATATGCATATTGGAATATTGCATGGGAACCTGAAAGGAGATGTGATGAACTGGCCAAAAATGCCTGCATGAGACCTGGGGGTATTAGCTAGTATTATAATGTGAGTAGTGCGTCATTCCAATACTCATTCATATGCTTATCTACTAACCTTGGCTTCAGGTAACTTTCTTTTTTTGAGTTAGTTTTGAGACTAACTTTCTCTTTCAGTTAGTCTCAAAAGGGCTACTAGATCCCTTAAATATTCTTGCATCATACCAGAATGTCTGTAGTTCCTGATGGGTATTACCTGGCTGAAATTGCTTTCAACTTCTATATCAGTCACCGGTAGTGTGTAAAATATACTTAGACAACAAACACTTCACTGAAATCCAGTTGCAGTTAGTTTTTATTTTGTTCTACTTTGTAAATCTCATTAAATAACACAAGGGTTAATGGATGAGTTCCAAAAGAGGATATGAAAGGTTTATTTGTTAGGAAAATTTTCAGAAAGATCTCTGAGGTCCAAAACACACTGCAGAAATAGAGTAGGCCCTCTGTATCCATGGATTTGCCATCCGCAGATTTCAGCATCTGCAGATGGCAATCCCGTGGGGGGGGGGGGGCAGCAGAGGAGAAAGAGGAGGAGGTGAGGAAGAGGAGGAGGAGGAAGGAAAAAGAGGAGGGAGAAAGAGGTGACAGCCATGGGGCAGGGGAAATATGAGTAAGGAAAAGGAGGAGAAAGAGGTGTCTTCAACAACTCAAATCTGCCCACCTCCATTGCCTCCCAGTCCCTCTGCCTCACCATGAAGAGATCCCTTTACTTCTCTCCCCACAAAGCCAAAAAGAGCTCCCTTCCATCTCTTGGGGCCAGGGACCACTGGGGAAGAGACAGAAGAGAGCAGCAATGATGCAGGTGTGCCCAAAGCATCCCTCCTACTCCTCTTCAGTCCTCCTTTGGAGCATTTTCTCTTGGTCCCCTCCCTCACCATTTTCCTACCTGGGCATGGGATCCGGGCTGGTGGTGGTTATAGAGGGCTCTGAGAGGGCACACTGCAGGTCCAAGAGTTGAGGCAGGTAGGGCTGAGGCACCTTGCAGGTCCTTGGGCTGCTTCTGCTCAGGGGATTGACCAGCCAGAAAAGGAGGAGGAGGAGGAGGTCGTCCCATGCCACCCTGTCCTGGCTCTTCCTTCTTCCTTCCTTCACTCTGGAGGGGAGGGGAGGAGAGGGGAAGGAGGGGGCAGATGGAAGAGGAGGGTCTTCTACTCAGGTCCAGTCCCACCCCTTCCCCAACTCTGTGGGGAAAGGTGTCCCTCCTCCTCCTCCTCTTCTCCCTCCAAAAGCACAGCCCCCCCATGGCCCAGGGATGTTCTCCTCCCCCTTCCCCAGAAGGTTCCCTTGGGGGGATTCGAACTCAGAACTTGAGCATCCACAGATTTTGGTATCCATAGGGCCTACTGTAATCCAGTTTGAGACTGGTTGAACTGCCCTCACGGAATGCTAGGGATTTCTAGGAATTCTGGGAACTGTAGTTTTGTGAGACATTTAGCCTTCTCCAGTGCCACATAAACTACAATTCCAAGGATTCCCTAGCACTCAGCCAGGGTCACATCTTAATTAGATTGTAAACCTGAGGGCAGGGAACTAGGATTTTGGGGGTGGGAGTAGTGTGGTCTTTGCACAGTGATTATAATCACTTTGCACAGTGATTGCACTATATAAATAAATGATCATCATCATCATCATCATCATCATCCCAACTTTCCTCTCCCCTCCCCCCTATTTGAAAATTAAAAAATGGTTGAAAAGATGTGTCTAGAATGCTGGGATACCCTCATTAAGAGAATCCTGGACCACTGGAATCTTTGCAGTTTGGGACTTATTCTGTGCAAAATGTGCATGTGGTATTTTTGCATCAAAAATAGCATAGAGTTTTGAGGTTTTTGAAGACTTTCTTCAGCAGGAAGAAAATTGTTAAAAGTATTGGTTATTTCTCCTGTGAATGAAATTAATGCTGAATTACATCCCTATTTCTGCAATAGGTTTCCAAGTTTCAGTGCTTGTCACATGTATTTAAGCTCTAACTGGGAAGTAGTAGTTTGACTGTTGGACTATGACTCTGGAGACCAGGGTTTGATTGGCCATGAATCCTACTGGGTGACCTTGGACAAGTCACATGCTCTCAACCTCCGGGGAAGGCAATGGCAAGCCCCCTCTGGACAAATCTTGCCAAAAATACCTCATGATAGGGTTGCCTTAGAGTTGCTGTAAGTTGGAAATGACTTGAAGGCACAGAACAAGAACAACCAGTTCAAAAAAAAAAATCTACTGTTCTTTCATTAAGCCAAAGGATTAATCAATTTACACTTTCTAAAAATTCATACGATATGAATCAACTATATGCATTGTTCCATATTACTCTATACATCCATGATACATTTTGCTATACTCTGAAATAAAAAAAAAAAAGAGAACTCTTTCCCTTGCAAACTATTATATCATCTAATTACTTATTCTCTTTTTCCTTTTGCCTATATTACAGATTCTGAAGATTGCTGAAGGACATCCTAGGGGAAATCAGCCTAAATATTCTAAAATAAATGTTGTTTCATTATACTAGCAGTAAGAACTGCCCATATGTTTATGCTAAGCAAAAAAGGACTTTGATCACTTCTTAGTTTGTAGTTAAAGAAGAAGGAGGTAGTTGCTTGGTAGACAATGAGCAGCTATTAGTTGCATAGGTCCTTGAAAAACAACAATCAAGGTTATTTCATGATATAATACAATAAAATAAAACAGACAGCATAATCATGTACACAAAAAGCAGTCTGCAAATCTGCTGTTCATTTTAAGACTCACAGCTTTGTGAAGTGCTCAGAACAGAAATGATTTCACTGTTATACACACACATGCAATTTGCAAGCTGCAATAAACAGGTAAACAAATAAATAACCAGCAATTAGGAGTTCTCAGAAGCTGTGAATTGGGGAAATTATGCAGATTGGGAGAGACAGCATGCAAACATATATCTGGTAGACACAAGGCCAAAGCCTCTGTGTCCTCAGTACTCTGTAGCAGTGATTCAAAAAGCAAGCATTGAGAATGAAAAACAGAATATTACAATTGCTAAAATGATTTTCCTGTTTACTTATCTGCAGGAGGTATAAGTTCTCAGAAACTTTGCAAGAAAGAGCATCATGCAAAACTGCAATGTTACTTGCCCAAGGTCACCAAGTGGGTTTCCATGACTGAGCCTGGATTCAAACCCTGGTCTCCAGAGTCCTAATCCAGCACTCAAACCACTATGCCACACTGGCTCCTTATATGAATATAGGAACATTTATAAGGATGAAGGATTTAGGTCTAAAAATTTATTAGTTTTTATACACAGGGAATTACGGTTTGTAAAAAACAACAACACACCTTCACTTATAATTAAAATTATTGTAGTTACAAAAGTGAAAAACTGTGAGCCCCCCCCCCCCAAAAAAAGTTCAGGGGCAATAAACCCTAGCACCCTAGGATCGAGAGGAACTTTGTGAACTGGATGATGGGATTTACCATCTATAGAGGTGTGATCGAACAGAAAGACCCTTCTAGGTCTCCTGATTTTTCTAAGTATCAGGAGATTATGATTAAAGTGTACACAAATTGTCATTTCAATTCGAGGGAGTCTGCATGGCTCCAGTACGATGAGCAGTTTAGGATGAGAGCTGCTTTGGACCCCTCTTTAACTTGGCAGCATGTCCAGTCAGAGTTGTGGGCGGATGTTAGGCTGGAGGCCTCCCCTTCAAGCAGATGTGACAATGGTTTTGTGCCTATGGTCATGCAGCCGAAAGGGCAGTATGTGAGGCCTAGCACGGGGGAGAGAAAAACAACAGGTCTCTGAAGGGACTTCAACTCAGGTAAGTGCAGGAGGCAGCCCTGCAGGTTTGATC